AAAAAAAAAAAGGAGAGGAGTTTAAGCAGACAAAATACATTGTAGGGAGGCACTTGGTGTCTCCCATACTGATACAGATGAAAGAATGGAAGAATATCAATTTTGGAATATATTATGCTGATTTTTGGGATCTGAATTGGTGATTAAACTTAGGGATTTCACTGAATTATATTCCTGAAAGACTATTATTTATTACCACTTTATTACCTATTTGCCATTTTATATTAGCTTTAGTTTTTAGTATAGAGTGAGTTGTCAATAGGATTAGTATGAAGAGATTTTAATAGCATCGGCTACTGAGCAAGTTTCTAGCACGGCAGAGATACCGTCGTAGAAGTTTTACATTTCTTGGAGAAGTTTCATACTTCTTGTTCATCCATATTATAATATCATCAATAAAATTGCATACTTTCTCTTTATTCATCCTTTGCTCCTAACAATTGGTTCAACCTGCCTGATGGAAATCATAGAATCTCGAGTTGTAGCCATGGGGAAGGGTCAGGAAGTAATCGTGTGGCCACAAAACCAATTTGAAGCAAGCAATGACACCTCCCAGGTTAATGATGTCAATGGCTTGTCTAATCACTAATGTAGATTCCACCTCCTCAGTTCTCATGAATCAACATGACGAAATTTTGAAAATCTGATGGTGGCTGCAATTCCACATCCTCTGTTCCACGGGATTTGGGGCCATCAGGTTCACAGCCTAACAAGATTGCTCAAGTGCCTACCTCCGGTTTGGATTTTGTCACTCTTTTTGAAGATTTCCTTGTTGTCGGACAATAACCTCATAGATATGATACATTCATGGATACAAACAAATGCCTACTCTTCTCTAACGGAGGACGAGGTAGATAATTCTCAACTTCAGCCTGTGTAATTACATTCGTGACCCCTATGCAATCATCAATGTTGTATTTTGGGATCTTAATTGGTGCTTAATTTTACGGATTTTAAATGATTTATTATTCCTTAAATGTTATCACTTTTGTATCCCTTTTATTACCTGTTACCATTTCATATTAGCTATAGTCTAGTATATAAGAGAGTTGTTGATAGGATAAGTATGAAGAGATATATTTTGTAACAGCATCGGCTATTTGGCAAGTTTTTTTTTGCGCAAAGATCCTGTTACAGAAGTTTTTTACTTCTTGGAGAAGTTTCATACTTCTTGTTCATTCCTATAATAGTATCATCAATAAAGTTCCGTATTTCTCTTTCTTGGTCCTTTACTAGTATTATAATTATCATCACTAAATTGCATATTTTTTTTTCTTATCCTTTACTCCTAACACATACACTGCAGCCACTGGGGTCAGTTTATGCACCACCAAATGGAGGAGATCATATGATAATTGTTTACTAGATTCTCATGTCTCTCAAGATGACTTCACAAAAACGGCGAATGTGTGTGGAGACAAGTTCTATACTAACACAGATATTCTGATGCACGCTGGGCAGGAAGCAAGACAGATAGGACAACCACCAGGTATTGCTCAGTTGTATGGGTAATCTTAAATGTGATTTTCAAGAGAGAAGTGTTGATACTGAACAAAGAGCCTTAGCAACAGCAACTAGTGAAGAAATATGGATCAGACATTTACCCAAGTTATCAACTTCAAACACCCACCCTTGCACGTAGAGTGCCGATCTAGACAAAACCCTATATCACCTCCAAATATAAATTAATTAAAAAAAAAAAACACCTGGGTGGTATTGTACCATGATAAATGGGTCAAAGTACGCCACAGCCATGAGTCCTGCCAAATGATATGCTCAAAGGCAGAGGGTTCCCCCAATCTACATTTATCAACAATCACAGCACAGCAATTGTAATGTGCGGCAAACATAACTTCTAACATTCGTAAAGAGGATCAAGTAATATCTTTAACTTTGGACCAAACTTCACTTGTTGAGCGGACTCCATTGATTCTAGAACAATGGCTTAGACCCCCTCATATCTTTAACAGAGAACAACTAGCAAACGTCACAAGGAAAATCAAGAACCTAATTGTTAGGAACTATCTACCAAGTTCTACAAGCTTCACGTGACTGAGATGTCACCAAATTTAAAACACAATTACTAGATAATCAATGGCAACACATGCAAGTCATAAACTTATCCCGGACAATCAAAATTAGATTGCAAATAAATATGATAAGAATATCAAATGAATCAAGACACTTTAACAAGGTTTAGGGTGTTGTACCTGATAAGAAAAATTACTGATGTTCATGAAGCATGTCCTCAAGAAGCCTCTACTCTGAAGTTGACTCAAGAAAAATTTCTCATGATCTACACAGATAAATGCATCCAGGACATAAAATGCCATTGCTTTTACAGATTCACTGCCCTGGGTAGCATCTTTTATGACCTAAATTTCAACCAGAAAATGTATAATTAGATACAATAGTATGACGAGAATAATTATTGTGAACTAGACAATGATGTGCAACAAGCAGCTTTGCAAATTAGTGTCAACGTGGCCACAAAACAAATGATCTCATCTTCACTAATTGATTTATCAGATTCACTAGTAAGTATTATTATAAAGTCACATTCACAAGGGGAGATGAAGTAAAGTGCACACATATATAATATTTATCCATATGCATATGGATACACATACAACATAGTGAGAAACTATACTTGCAAAATTGTAGAAAAACAAAGCCTGTCAATGTCAAAGAGTAAATCGGATGCAACAATTACTTCAGGAAGGTAAGAGGGCTGCGTTATTCCAAATGAGTACATTCTGAATACAAAACTGCAAGTATCAATCAGATTTATGTCATTCAGGAAACATCTAAAACCAACAATGTGCCCGTCTCACTGTGTAATTTGCATTTTCTGGCACAAAATTGTCACAGTAGCAGACATCAATAAGTTGGAAACAAGAATAAGGCCTGAGGCGGATGACAAGTCCAAACCTTTATAGGTAGCATGGTAAAAGAGATGGGCAAACGTAAGCTAGGATTATGGATTTAATCGGTAGTCATGTGTTATGACAAACATCAGTATAAAACATGGTCTCTGTAGAAAGAGAGTAAGCACTGGAGGCAGTGACAATTTTTCTCAACCAAATGGCAGCAAGATGCATATCCTTCCAATCAGAAAGTTCTTAATTAATACTACACAAAATTGCCACAATCTTTATTTCAATAATCGCTGGCCCAACCCAGCTTATGATGTCTGATAACCAATTGATTTCAAGTTCATCCCAATTTAAAGATCATGCCAACCATATTTCGAACTGCCTATTTATCTCTGTCATACTCTAATATTGGCGAGTCAGTAAACAGCTGCCGCACATAAAGTACACATTTGCAAGACGCTGGAGAGGACAGACAGAACTGTCACCACAATCAAGTTCGTATTTGAGCACCGTCTCAATCTAGCTAAGAGGGACTCGAAATTTGCAAATCAACAACTGGCAATACAAGTCCCACGTTGATTTTCAAGCATGCTGACCATTCTTTCAGCACATATTCAGCATACTTCAACGTCATAACTAAATTTACATTTGCTCTTTCATTCATATCTTGAAACGAACAGATCCATGCTAGCACATCAAATTGTCGACAAATTGGCAACTCTAAATCTTGCCTGATAATACCCTCATCCAAGATATTTCTGCATTCACTCCAAAGCACAATCTCAGAAACTTCATTGCCCACCAAATAATACAAGCTCGCTCATGTAAACAAGAAAAACAAATAAATATGTACAACATACATTTCGTAATGGCTAGAGAGTCCACCACAGATCAGAACATATAAGGCACAGAAACTTTGGTGCGCAACTGTGTATAATATATCATGCAGTGGCCGTCCAAATATAGTGAATAAGATCTTGAAAATTAATGTGAACAAAATATCAAGACAGAAAAAGGAATAACAGGAGAAGAATATTAAACCAACCAAGTTAAGAATCAGCTGGTCTTCCTTTCTCAGTATTGCAAAGTTTGCATGAGCCAAATCAGCCTGATCTTTGTCAATCTGTAAAGGATGTTCCCTGTTTAATAAGAATAGCATTGTAGATCTAAAATGAAAAAATTAAGGCTATGTAATTGCTGAGACCTTTTCTAGATCCAAATCTCCATCTTGTTCATCAACTGAAAGGAATTGCAGAATTGTTGTCGGGACATCTGAATCAAACATGTGCTGGCAGTACTGGAAGTAACTTAGAAGCAACGCATATTGACTGGATTCAATACAATAAAATGGGTCAAAAAATTCCTTCATATTTTAAGTGCATTGAATTGTAAACGCAATTTATCTTAGATGAATATTTCATTACCGCCTTCTCAATGCTTCTGAAGATTCATGTCTAAGAATTGCCATAATAATCTTGAACAATATAGAATGACAGGCCCCATTTGATAATTGCTTTGTCATAATAATGTCAAGACATGTAACCATGTCCAAAGTTAGGCCACTTGGGAAGAAAAATCTTTCATCACGTATTTTGGCCACGCATGTGAGAGCAACCTTAAAATTTGCACAACCCGTTAAACTTCACGAAATAAAACAAAATTAAATAAAGAGTATTGAAACACATCATAAATTAGCATTTATCTTACTGACCTGGGTCAATATTTGTGCCATCTTTAAAGAACAGACAGGAGAACCAGAAAACCCCAGCGAAGAATCTAGCAATCTGCCCATGTTATATTACGTGAGTAAATCCAATTATGTCATGCAAGATAATGAAGTAGAGAATGCACATACTGGAATAGTATTTCAGTTCGGTTCTCAAGGAATGAAATCCTTTGGGATGCAGAAACCTGAAGAAGAAGAAATAAAGAATTATAGCATAGTATAGAGCTGGGAAGGTTGTAGATAAATCATAGCCATAAACAGCAGCTGAACTTACGTATATAATTAATTTTTTCAAAGGAAATATAGCAGTTCTTGATAAAAATTATATTCACATATCCATCTCGTCTTTAAAGTTTTCAACTCGTAAAAATTGATAAATGACTTAAAATTAGATTATTTAATGATAGAGCATGTGAAAAAACACAACAAACAACCCTCCAATCTCAATAGCAACACAACCATGGGACAGAATCACCCTTGATGAAAGAACAATATAATGAAGACGTGCACTAGACACTGGAGCAGGGTTGACCTCGACAATCTGAGACCAGCTTGTTAACATATGAAGCTGGGCAGCTTGTTCTTCAAGGTTTTTGTTGTATTTCCATCCCCACTTTAATAGTTGTTGGATGGCTTCTCTTATACCGTTCATCTCAGCTTCAGTTCCAGATGAGCTCGTCAGGGAATTATACAAATTGCACTTCTGTCAGGAAAGATGCTATTGATCAATACAATCGACTTCTACTCAGCGAATAAAAAGAAAAAGATATCATATATGGAAATGGTGGAGGGGTTGGAGCCAAAACAGCACCTGCCAAAGTCTATCTCTAAAAGAAGCCAAATTAATAAGGCGATCCCCACGCTCCGAATGATAATAAACATCCCTCCCAGAGGTTGATGGATTGGTAAGTATATCCTCAGCCTGCATAGCATATGGCAAAGAATGAACTGGAGAACATTACAATGTACCTACGTAACAGGGCCATCCTTACCAAAGAAGAATATCTTGAATTGGAGATGAAATCAGATGGTTTCATTGTGATGTCAGGAGTATCAAATTGGACAACCTCAAGCAATTCCAGAACCTATGTAAGGGTACTGTGTTAGAAAGTAGGATTTTAAATCAGATAACTTTTAATATTCTAGCATAGAGAAATTAGTATGCACACCACAGAATGCATATAAACTCAAACATAAAGGACCATTGTTTCAAGTTCAAAAGTGAGTAAAGCTTTCAATCCACCCTCAAGATCACTCCATCAAGGAATATTTAATGAAAAAAAATTACAAAAAATACATTGAAATATTTGCTTCCAAAAATGCAATCAGACAATACTTAGCAAAATCACAATACCTTGCTAACTAAACCAGTTGCGGCAATTTGCTTTTCATTTTGAAGGATGAAGGAAGATGCATCACAATCAATTCCATCTTTAGTAAGTCTCTGGCCAAACAACTCAATCATAATACTTTGGCATGTTTCACGATGATTGGAATCAGTCATGTCTGCTGAATGCAATTCTACTGTTAAAAGCTTCAACAACCAAGCTCTCTACACAAGGCAAGAAAGAGAGAATTTAGTGAACAAGAATTTCTTAAGGTAAGCCCAGGTTGAAAATTAAAAGTTTCACATTTTTATTCCAACCACATAAATCGTAAAACAGGCACCATGCACTTGCACAAGCCAAAACAAGTAACAGAGAGCGGGTAACAGAATTAACATTCTACTGCAATGTGAAAAATAACAATGCACTATACCAAAAGAATTCCAAGTCAATATGCACAAGTGTAGGAGAAAGAAGGATGATTAGCCACAAAAACCTGATGCAGAGAGCTGATGCGAAATGCTTGACTGCAGTTTCTATTTGGAAGGGGAGAAACACCAATTGAACTCAGGTGCTGAATAGTAGGACATCATCAGAAACATTAAACATACATATATAATATTATATGTGAATAGAAGACTAATTAGAGTAAAACCTTGACAAAGAACTGGTACTTTTTGGTGCATAACAAATCCATAGTAGGAGCTGAAGTCAGTGGATCCACGCACAATTCATAAACGAGCTGCAAATAATTATTTAAATTAAGATACCAATATAAAAGGAGATTGCTGAAATACAACCAAACCCATTATTAAACCTGAAAACCAAATTCATGAAGCAATGCATTGACTTCAGGTTTAGAAAGCTCATCCAAAATTTGGAGAATGACCTTCAAACAACTACAAGTGAAAAAAAAAAAAAAAAAAAAAAAAAAAAAAAAAAAAAAAAAAAAAAAAAAAAAAAAAAAAAAAAAATGTGATATATAGGACAAAAAAAGCAAAAGAAAGAAAAAGAAAATCAGTATACTCAGATAAAAAAGTAGAAAGATCCTCAGGTAAAGTATTAATAATAACCTGTAATGAAATTTTGGCTGAAGATAAGTCCTTTCAACAGGGCTATCAACATCAAATTTAAGCAATAGATGAGTGATGTTGGGAGCTGGTCTACCGATATTGTCAATGAGCAGCTGCAGTTGCCAAGGTTACACTCATTGTCATTCATAGATAATTAATAATTGCTGTAATGTCAAAAATCAAAACCGAAATGAGTTATGCTAGGATTTTAAAATTTTAACATTAGAAAATTCCAGACTTCCAGTTCAATCCTCTGTTCTACAATCTATCTATAGTAATATTGTTCTATAATTTTACAGTGTTACAGTAGGACCCTTTGTAGTAATTCTATTGTAGTATTGTTCACCAAGATCCATGTTATAGAGTATTGAAGTATTCAAATAATGAATCGCTTGATAACCCTCTCTTCATAAATAAAAGATGTTATAAGATTTTATGATAAAATTAATCGTGGTAATAAATGGAAAATACATCCTTATACAACTTCCATTTATCCTACCGCATTCCATCTTTCAGACATCTTTAAGAGAGAAATCTGAGAGCAATATTAGAAAGGGAAAAAAAACGGCTGTATAATCTTAACATCATTTAATTTTGCACAGAACAATAAAGAAAAATCCCTTTTTAATAAGTGGAAAGAGTGCACTTCACATGCTGAACGAGTTGAAACCCCCAATACACAAAATTTTCAGGATTGGAACATGGAGAAGGCATGAGGCTGTGGGTGTTGACTAAGAATTTTCCATATTTTCAGAAGTAAAGAGGTCACGAAGTTACAGAGTTAGATTTGGTGTCATTTGAAATTCCGTAATGATGTCCAGTTTGGATTTGACCAAGTAATAAATTTATATAGCTGATAGAGTCAAGCGTAATTTAAGGAAATTATATTAGCATGCAGAAAATAAAGAAACGAACAAGAAGTTCTCCAAGAACACAAATGTCTAGTCGGGAAAAAATCTTCAACACAAGCTAAAAGACAACGAACACTAATTCTCCAGAGTCTTATGCAAAACATTACCACTCATTTTTATAAATACTCACCTTTGCAAAATGAATCTCATGGTAATCTTAATACTATGGGCCTAAACCCAATAATTTGTCTTATACAGTTCAATATTACTAATAGTATATAACAATTAACAATAACATAAAAAAGCAACAGATCAGTCTGAAACAGTATTTTGGGACTATATTAGTACATTTCACTTCCTAGTGCAACTATTTCAACTAAATAATGTCACTTTCCCTCCAACACTCAAAGTTATAACTCATAAGTTTACACCAATCTTTCAATACAAGCACACAGGGACATAAAATACATTTCTAGTCTTTTAAATTTAATATTGTTAGTACATATTGTGTAAATAACTAAATATATAACAGAATCTTTTAGGAAAGAACATATATTATCTACAATTAAGGATTTGATTAGGATTGGATTAGTATGATTATTCTCTCAGTTGTGTATATCAATAGGGCATCAGGGCTCTTTCTATCCATGGCAAGTTGCATCATAAAGAAATATACAGAAATTCTCTGTTCACAATATACTATATAAAGTTTGTGAGAAATTTTAAAAAATCTCCGGCTCACTTGGTAGAGAAAGAACCATCACAGCTCGCACGCATAGCGGAGCAGACAGGTGAGTATGGTAGATGCGATCACGCGTATCAGAGCCGGTAGCCATATGCAAGCACGATTCCACATGAGGGTCGATGTAATTGAGAAACAAGAACAGCCTTAGCTCTTGTCTACTTTGTGGCGGGAAAAATGTATGAAATGATAAATGATGTGGTTTTGATTCTTTTAACAGTAATAAGTTATGAATAGCTTTTAATGACCTTTATTTAATTTTCACTAAATTCAGAAAAGTGTTTTTACAATAACTTCACTAAAAGCCCGCGTATCACATTATTTTAAAATTTAATTGAACTAGAGGTTCAATTAAAAATATGTTATTTACTTAAACAACACAAATAAAGCCTTCTTTCTGATGGAAAACATTTTTTCTTTTCAATTTGCAACCCACAGTTCACTAATTTGTTAATCATCAAGGCCTGAGATGTTGGAGATGAATAAATGATGCAGAACCATTTATACAAGTCTCCTGGAATTTTATATATATATATATATATAAGAGAAATCAGCGTTTCTCTGTGCTTGTCTTTTTGGGTTGGAATAAAGGGTCAGTTTCAGAGTTGTTCATGGAAACTTAAAAGAAGACCGTTTTAAGTGTTCCACATTTGAGGCATGCAGTTTCCTAGAAAAATAACTATATAAAAACATAGTTAGCCTATGCATTTTAAATCACAAACTGACGCAATTCCCTTACATAGTTAGCCTATTGATTTACCACCCTCCAGTGTTATTAATGGCGGACAGCAAAACTCCGCTATAGTGGCAGCCAAGGAGGCCTATGGCATCGCCATAACCACCATCTTCCACAAATTTAGCATGGCGGATTGTCAAAAATCCGGCACGCCATACTGCCATGGCCGTCATTTGATAACACTGCCACCAATTCTTTGATCTACATAACATCCATCTTCTCATCCACACAAGTTGCATCCCTCATGTCTTTTCTTTGCTGTCTCTCTTCCCTCAACTCCAGTCATATAAATATAGTCATGCCACCTGCTCGGACACCAGATCAAATGTCTATTTTTTTCTCAGCCTCGCCTAATCAATCTTTTCTCTATGACTGATCCACTGTTTACAGTAAATGAACTCAATTATACTTCCTACCCAACATCACATTTGTCATATGTTTCTGCCTGTTTTATGTTATGACTTACATTAATAGTACTGCCAATTTGTAAAACCATCAGAGGTCTAACCATTTCAGATTTCAGAATATCGAGAGGGACTAGGAGAAAACGATGACAAAAAGAAAAATAAATAAGATAGTAAAAATCAAATGACCAGTAACCCAATCAACTTTGGATACTGCACTATACAAAGCATCCAAAAAGTTGGCAGCTAAATCTAACCCCACACACACCCACCCCGACCCCCCACCCCCCAAAAAAAAAATTAAAAATCTCAGATATATATAAGATGATGGGGTGTGCAGTATATTGAAGCCACGTAATATAGATTCTTTCTGCATACTACAATATTAAAGCACATTGACAGTAGGCTGAACATAACTGCAATATTCAATCTTCATGCCCAGATTCTCCCATGCAATATTTTCTTTCAAAACAGTAGAACTTCAATTCTTGTTTCAACTTTTAAAAATGCATGACCTATGATATAATATTTCCCCAGCTGCTGGAAGAAGAGAAACAACAGAAACAAAGCTTACTTGCATAATCAGAACACCAGGATCCATGCTGCTATCGTCAAAATTTTGACCTTCCTCAGAGCGCAGCTCTAAACAGGTTGCATAATCCTCAATCAAACTATTTGCAGAGTTTGATTTTAGCAGCAACTGTGCTAGCCCAATGATCCTTGAACTGCATAGAATAAGACAAATCATTACAGGCATACAGTTTTATCAACCAAAGATTCCAATATGAGTAAAGAAGAGAATGGCAGTGAATGTAATGTTACCTTAGAATGGTCAAAATTTTGATGGAACAGATCTGGATCTGAGGGTGAACATCATATCGTACATATTCCAGCAAAGTTACAATCTGATTGTGATCTTGAGAGAGTATGATATCCAAAGGCTGAATTGAAGAGAAATAAAAGATTATTGCTTCAGATCTCAGCATAAAACCAGTGTTATCAAATGGCAGCCATGGCAGTATGGGCTGGCGGATTTTTGACAATCCGCAATTGAAAATTAGTGAAGGATGGCGGTCATGGCGACGCCATAGGCCGCCATCCGCCATTAATAACACTGCATAAAACAGATTCTCATTTCAGAATATGAGACTAATTATCAAGAGACAATTGGAGCATGCAAACAAGAGAATGGAAAAGCTGAACAAAACACAACACGGAAGAGTCAATTGCCTGCTTGGATTTGTTTAATATTCTCCCTGAGACCCTTATAAGAAATACAATAAAGTATGGCAAACTACAATTTGGATTTCTCAGATCATTGTTGACAACATTCTCCTCTAGATTTCACTTATAGTTGCTCTATGACTGATTGCTGACAGCTCATTTGTCCAGCTTTTTATTAAGTTCTCGTATCCAAAAAGAATAAGCTGGTTGGGACACCTCTTAACATGCACAAAGTCAAAGTTTTGGTTCAATACACCACTGAATTGTACTTGTCAGAAAAATTACTAAAACTTGGGTGCGAATTATATGAGCCCCAGTAATTAGTATGTCTTTAAAGGTTTATAAAAATTTATTCAATTCAAGAGTATTTTGGCCATCAATATAAGTTGTGTTGTCCATAGGTTTTAACATTGGAGGAAGACTCAGAACAAAGCAAGTCATAAAAAACAACAATAATCATTGGACGTTTTTAAGGAATCTTCCAGGAACTTAAAAGAAAAGGACCGCTTTACAATCATCATCTGAAGTCTAAGAAGAAAGAAAGTCATCAAAAATAATACACTGATTTGAATTTGACATAAGTACCTGATACAGAGGGCGCCAAAGGTCAGAAACAATGGTGTCTTTTTCCATAACAAGAATAATAATTTCCAAAGCGAGCAAAACAGCTTTTTCAAGCAGTTGCCCATAAACTTGATTTGTTCTTTCGACTATTAGATAATTAACCCCTGGTAAAACAATACCCATAATATTACGGAGCATGGTTTTTCCACTCATAAAATCCTGCAAAACCAACAGTTCATGTAAGAACCAAAATAAATACTGAAATGTACTTTGAGACTGAAGAAAAGCTTATCAAAGATAATAACACAAATAGAAAAGATATGCATATTGTTTCCAACCTATAAGTAATACAGTAGAGAATAATGTTGTTAATTGCTAAAGGGTCGTTGAAAACGGTGGCGGAAGGATATGAGGGAGAAACAGAAATTTCCAACATAACAGCTCAGTAACTTAACAACGAGGGAAAAACAAAATCATCTAACATAACTTATTTTAAAGGATACAATTTTTTTTTTTAATTTTAAACTATACATACGAGTAGTCCTCAAACAAATTTGTTTGCAACAGACAACTACGTATCATTGAAGCTCAGTCATCATATAACATAAGTAGTCAAAACTTCAGACACACAAGATAAAATAGAGAAAAAGTGATTTCTAATTGATCCACTTTGCCATATTGAGTTACCAACTGCTTTAGCAGATTTTGCGAGTTCAAATATATGATGGTTCGTTTAAATGGTGATGTAATGGGTAAATCAGAGATGTCTCCCATATGTACATTATGGGATACAATCTGTAACCACTAGGCATGAACCCTCATCCTCCCTAGGTCTGCTAACTAGCTGAGTCAAGTCGAGGGCTATCAGGCTGGCTCGATTATTTTCACAGCTGCTCAAGCTCGACAAGCCAAGCATTTTAAGGCTCAGCTTGGCTCGACAAAAAAAAATACAAACGCTTTGCTCAAATTTGAACAGCAAAAATTTTGCTCAAGTTCGGCTCAAGTATTCAATAAAAAAGCCTATTCAAATAAAAATGTTGCTCGAATTTTGCCCAAGTTAGGGGCATTTAGGTAATTGTATGCATACACAAGTGGCTCGTCGAGCACTCGAGCTTGAATCACCGGCTCAAGTTCGGCACGACTTCACATTTGGGGTGCTCTAGATAAACTCGAGCTTGAATAGAGCATTAAGTCGAGCGCTGCAAACTGCTTAATTCCTTTGCAACCCAACTCCTTCATACCTCATCTCTCTGATGACATCTCCCAAGTCAATGTACCTACTTTGTTTGTTGACGTATTCAACTTTTTACCAAAGGGTGAATAAAGGATCACTACTCACAAGCACTTCATAACACTATCAAAGAACTTAAATTCACTAAAGCCATCTTAATTCCATGTTCTTGCCCATATATTAAGATTATAAGTACGGTAGTCAATTGCTTCTTGCAATATATTATGTTTAATAGCACATGAACGGAGATTGATGATACATCATTCCTGCAATTGCACATGAAAGTTTGGACCGCCTTTGATTATTTTTTTTCAAATCCTGAAACAGATAGATGATTTATTTAATAGCTGTTGAACAAGAGATGCAATACTGCTACTGCATTTGCTTATTTATTGTATGTTAAATTTTGAATTTCACCAAGTAGATCACAAAGTTATAATGAACTGAACATGAAAATGACATCAAGTAACAGATCCACAAATTACAATTGATAAATGGTTAGTTTTTCATCATTCAACATAGACAAACTATATGAATCTAACTCTAGAAAGAGATAAAAAATCATAAAATGTCTGTGCAAGAAATGCACTTGCACAGACAGGCAGAAATAGAGGTAATATACTGGAAACATAGAACAGCAATAGCAGTGGTACTTACAAACGAGAATATGAAGTCATTACCTTCATAATTTCTACAACAGGCAGTTGCATATTAACAGGAGAAGACTGAATCATTATGGAAGTTTGAGACTGATCAGCACTAGCATCACTATCATCTTCTCCAAGATCATACATGCTTAACATCCTACACGTAAAAATGTTTCACTTTGACATCAAGATAAGCAATTTTACTGAAAATTACATTTCAGATTACTAGATTTTGGCTATACAGACAATTTAAAAAATATCAAACATAGTAAGAGAAGAGAGAGATGTCAAGGGGAAACTGAGAAAGACAGCTTAATCCAGAAACTAGTAACATTGCTCACATCTGAAAATGCTTAAGACAGGCTACAACAAGTTGCCATTTCTCACAATGATCCGCATAAGCTCTCTGAGGGAATGGACCAAATACATGATCATATATAAATCTGAAGATGCCAATGAATCTGAAAGAAAAATCAGTCGTCAGAAAAAAAATAAAATAAATAATTATGATTGAACTACATAGCGTATAGATACTTTAGTTGTCTTACCTACGTCCTCTGTCACTGACATCCCTTTCCTCAGCAATAAGAGTATTTAGGAGATTTATAAATGATATAGTCGAAGGGTATTGCTCTCGCCGTGCTTCAATTTCATTCAACTCAAATCTCATATCATAAACCTGCAACATAAAACCATAAAAATCTATGCCAGAAATAACTATAGTAATGTTTTGCACCAATACTATCAATGTCATTGATTTGGATCCTCTTTCATTGGTAGTTTACTTCCGCAAAGTAATGCTGTACATATGTAAATTCTTAAGTCTAGAACAGATAACTAACTTTTACAAATTGCAAGTTCCTAAAGAGTTTGTTCCTTTTTGCTCATTATAGCCCTTGTTATACGGTATAATGCAAGATACGGTACCGAACACTTGTTCTACTATACACCCACCTGTGTATCCATTGCATGTCCGGTGCTCCCCGCATTTGGCCCAACAACCACTGGTAGGTCATACTGCTCCAAGTACCTCCAAATTGTGTCTTTCATATCAGGAGATACATGGACAAATGAAGCAATAGCACCACGCAACGCACCCTATATAAACATAGACACAAAAACAAATCCAACGCAACAGAAATTTGTTAATTCTACATTAAGCAATTTATGTATAACTACACAATGTGTGAAAAAAGCAGCAAAATATATGAGACTAACCTTGAGATAAGCAGGCACATTCTCATAGCCGAGGAGTTTGAACAATGGCTCAATATCAGGAAACCACTTCGTCCTTTCAGTGGGACTCCCATTATCCACAACCTATCACATAGAAAGGATGAAAATAACAGATATGTTCAAATATATTTAAAAGCATGATTTGTAGAAGTGGAAATTCTCTGCAAAGTTTATTAATTATAGTACAAATATGAATAAATGAACTGGAACGAGACGTGCAGAAAACTATCGCCGGCAGCAAGTTAAATGCTATGATGAACAGATCAACAAATTGGAAGTAGAGTGAAAGCGCAACAGAAAGGAACCTGATCGGATACATATTCAAAATTTTGAAAAATAAACAGAGCTACAAATTTATACAATAACATCAGTATCCATGAAAGGCATTTCTCTTTACGGGATCAGAATAATTGATTAAAACACTGAATATTTCCATTTGTTCTATTAACTTATCCTATTTCCAAAATCTGTGATTGGAGAAAGAAGTAACAAAAAATATATATACGTAACATATAAGTAAACAATAGATGCATCTGACAATTCAATTGTAAATGGATTACAAGATAAAATGACTTATTAGTAATTACATCCCTCTTTGTTGAAAGTGAATACATGAGAATAAACTAGAATTCACAAAACCCAGACCATAGAGTCAAGTATCAAATCAGACTCACATATTTTAGAATTTTTACCTTTTGTAGAACATTCAAGTATGCAACTAGTGCTTTGGCATCCCCTTCCTGAAACTCTGGTACTAGTGATCCAGGACTGTGAGCAGAGTGTCTGAACTTTTCTTCATAAATGGATAAGCAGTCGAATAAGGTGTTCCACCTAATGGAGTGAAATGTTTTCCCCTGAAGTAACTCAAAGACTTTGGAAGCGCTCTCCGGATTACAAGCCTAATTGAAGAAGTAACAACAAAATGGCAGTGAATAAGATTAAACAAAAATCATATTTCTAGTAACATTTTGGCATGAAGGAAGGTGGTAGTACTCTTCACATACCAAGGTACTCAGCATTTTCAAAAATGCCACAAGTGTTTGAAAATTAGTGTGACCCTCCCCAGAAATCTTCACAAACATCCAAATAACATCATTACTAGACAGTAGCTCAGGTTCCTTCTGAAAAAAGTACAGTCTCATTAGGAAGAATAGAACAGCACAAAGCAAAAGATAATTGAAGACTGAAACATACACATTGCTATTGATGATGGATATATATAAATATATATATGTATATATATATATATATATATATAGAGAGAGAGAGAGAGAGAAAATGTGTGTGTGTGTGTGTGTGTCGTGTGAGACACTGTAACTGTAAGTCTAACAATTGTCAAACCTGAGTTGGGTTTAACACGAGTAAAAACTTGTAATGCAGAGCAGCACAGGTCTTAATTTCAGTGACAATGACTTTACCAGTTTAATATTTAACAATGAGTGGTACTAGTACTGAACTATAAGGAGGGCAAACCACATTTACAACACCAAAGTTTAGCCTCTCTATTTACTCACTTCATCCACCAAAGTTAACACTTCAAATTATTGTCACCAAAAATCCAACAGTAACTCGAAGACATTTCTTGACTGAGATTTTACATCTTCACAGTCTGAACCTCAAATCCCACTCATAGCTTATAAATTACATCTGCCGCACTAATATTTATATTCCCAACCATTTGCACCCTTTCATTAGTCTGAATTAGAATTTTCATCCAGCGTCATCAAAATTACTGAACAGTCCAACAATGAACTTATATGCATGAGAGATCTTTTTAGTGATTTTTTAAGGGCTAATAACTAAAGAAGAACCACCCTTGAATAACTAAAAAACATGGTAAGTTGGTCACAAGAACTTGTTCGCTTATAAAATCACAACATCTCTCTTGACATTTGTTATTGTTAGAAGTTACGTTTATCCCACATCGATTAATTATTGTGTTGACGTTGTGCATAAGTGTGCGTTGGGGCCCCTATCTCTTTGAGCTAGCTTTTGGGGATGAGTTCAACCCAGGCCCATTTATCATGGTATCAGAGCACCCACTTTCCTTTGTTTGGAAGCGATGTTGAGATTTGGAACGCTGCGAGTGATGGCGGGTGTTAGAAGTTATGTTTGTCCATTAGTTACTTTGGTTGTTATTGTGTATAAGTAGGTTGGGCACCCTCTCCCTTCAAGCTGGCATTTGGGGATGAGTTCTAACCAAGGCCATTTATCAGTTATTATCCCCCACATAAAAGACAGGTAAACGGAGAAAATTCACAACAGATAATAACTAGTGATCTAATAAGCAATGCTTCCTATTTGATCCCCAGCAATTTCATTCCTTACCAAGAATTGAGTATCCCGTACAAACTGACTAGTTTGCATGCTTCGTACACAAACATAAGAACTAACATTCTGAATAATTCACACGTGGCATTTAGAAAAAAAAGTATGAACAAACCTGATAAATTTCACTCACAAACTCCAGTAAGGAGACAAAAGGTTGCTGACCAACTCTATTAGTCTCTTGAGGATTTCCACTGTCTAGAGTCATCTGATTATGTGTGGCAGCAGAGGGGTACGGACCAAGTATAGCCATAGCCTTCTCTTTTGCTTCATTTACCTGGAAAATCATTTACAAACAAGCAGCAATTTCTAATGTTAGCCAAGAAGAAAAAAAGTAAAATATAAGGAAAGGGTGCAGCGCCATAGGGGTGAAGCGCGCCTTAAGAAGGAGAGATTGGTTGCCACCTTTCATCCCAAAACCAATTGGGAATGAAAGGAGTAGCTCACTAGGCATAATATTAAATGACGAATAGCGAGGTAAGGCCTTGGCAACACAAGCCACCAAAGCATCAAAAAGAAATATATATGTGTGTGTGTGTGTGTATAAAAACCGCTATTTTTAATTGTATGTAGAGCTATGACTGATTGTGTTTCAGTGCTATTTTTAACCAGGGTGTATTTTATAAAGATAGCAATACATTTATGTTAGCATTTGTGAAAATGACAGCACCATGTCATATTAAAAATAGCATCGTACACAATTAAAATAGCATAAATACGATTCTCACGGTTCTCACACCTAGTATTTAATTTGAACCAGTCCATACAGAGAGAGAGAGATAAAATGATATCATATATTTAAGTTTAAGTGCCAAAAATAACATCAAATAATCTCCAAAAAAAAAAAGCTTAAAATAGATAAAATAAAAACCAGTCCAAATAACTAACAATCAATTTCCAATATAAAATTTAAATGTGATTATTAATGCTTTTAGAAAGAATAAAAACATTTAAATTTAATGTTGTGGGAATGATGTGAAATAGAAAAAGAAAGTTAACTTAAAAGAAACGGTATAAACTCAAATAAATAAAAAGAGTGTCGTTGCAACCTGTTGCAGCTTTGTGACAGTTAACCATTTTGTCATATAAAGATAGTAAAAAAGAAAAAGAAAAACAAAAGGAAGAGACGGGAAAAAAAAAAAAAAGGAAATGCGGCACTGGTAATCGGCTCTCCTGGAGACAACTAGATGGCAGCCGTCACTAATTATCAGATTGGAATAGATTAAGTTAATTTTCAGAAAACCTCATTTGGGTGCGACATCAATTTGAAGGAGAAGGAGCATGACTTTCTCATTTTTTGCTACTTTATTTGCAACTTAACTGGACGGGTGGGATGAGGGGCGCCTTTACCTCTATGTCGTTTTTGGCACGAGAGAGGCGCCGCCTTTGACACGAGCGTGAGGAGCCCGCTTAGGAGATGGGGCCGCCTATCGCCATGGCGTCACTATTTAAAATATGTCAATAAGCTTGTTTCCATTTTTCCTAATTAGTAATATGATATTTCAATACGCCACTCACTTGTGAGAGCCATTTTCCCTAATTAGTCGATGTGGGAACAAGCGATATTCCAACATATGTTTAATATTCTTATAAAATTTCAATACACTACCACATTATATCATATCATGTGATGGAACAAATTTTGACCTGCCCAAGTCTCAAAGCTCAAACTTTAGTACAAATTGCCCAAAGAAAGAGGCGACCAAGAATATTACATCAGTTCAGTACTCAAAAAACATCAACAAGGTTGCTCGCTGTGTTTGTATTATGCTGGCATTGTTTATGTATTATATTAAAAGTGTTCCATCAGACCAAATATTCACCTCTAGAGCAAGTCCCAAAGAGTGGCCATATTTACAAAGTTTATCTAGATTGATGGGTCGTCACATTTGATGCAATTGACAATGATCATGTATCTATTGAATAGACAATTCGTTGATTATATACAGATGTATACGGCCATTGAAATGATGCTGCCATGAATACTAATAATAGGACAGATGTGAGCTTAGCCACAGGAGAGTCTCAGAATAGTTAATGTCGTGGGTCTGAGCATAGGTTTTGCGACAAGACCAAGCTTTTGAATAAGCCAACTAACCGTCTAGATTTACAATCAATGGTCGTTTTATCCTCTAGTAACTCAACTAGTGTCCAAGTGTCATTGTGATCAAGGGCGTTCATTTCCACGCTCAAACACAGCAGCACGCCAACCAGAGTCACAAAGAGCCTCTTCAACATATTTGGGAACAGAAATGAAGTCTAATTTGGTAATAAATGAATAAAACCATAAGAAGAAGTTAAGTTGTCATGCAAGACAACAGAAGCAATAGGGCAAGTAGAAGTACGTTTACCTTTCCGAAGGGCAATAGGTAGATCACTAGAATGTGGGTCATGCGGAAGAACATAACTAGAGGGTGGATTTTCCAACAAAGCAGAAGAACATTCTTGAGTTGGGTGTTTCCTCCTCGTGTATACTTGAATACTGTGAGGTTCACTATGCTGAGGAGATGCTGCTGTTGACTAAGGAGACGAGGAACGTTCATCGACTGCGGACTCAGAGTGGGGAGCAAAATAGAATAAAAGGTAGACGGGCGTATCTCATGTCTCAGATTAAGTAATAGGTGATAGGATAGTAAGGTAAATTGTCATGACAAGTAACATCTCGATACACAACATATCGATTTTAGAGTATGAGAGAAACAACGATATCCTTTTTTTATATGTGAGTACCCCAAAAAAATACATTTGAGTGACTTTGGATCCAACTTAGTCAAATGGGCTCGGGTATTCTGATCAAAACATGTGCTACCAAATAGGCAAATACCGTTGTGGGATAGGATAGGGAAGCTCTTGCGAGAAAAGGATTGAAAAAGGAGTTTCTCCCTAAAGAATCACATATGGCATGCGATTGAAAAAAAGAAGAAAAAAAACAAAGCAATAGAGACGGCATCGGCCCAAAAATGTATAGGAGCGTGCATTTTAAACATGAGAGCTCTAGCAACTTCATGAGATGTCGATTCTTACATTCAGCTAACACGAGAAGACTCATGCAAAACACTTTGTTGAAGCATAAAGGATTGAGTAACTGCTGAAAAATATGCTTTCGGATTTATGTTTCGCAGGTTATCAACATAAGTGTTATATTGGTTTTTAATTCCAGCAAAAAAGATGAAGAGAAATGTTAAAAAACTTCAGAACGATTTTTCATGAGATAAAGACAAGTGATACGAAAATAATCATCAATGAAAGTAAAAATTATATGAAACCGATTTTACAGGAACCCAAGCATCACAATGAACTATCTCAAATGGGGATGTAGCCTGTTTACTTACCCTAAGACCTAACTTGAATGTTTTTGCAAATTGACACAAATCACGGTGTAATGAAGACAAGACAGAGAAGAAACTGGGGGATCATCTTCTTAAGACTCTGAGGAGGGATGACCCAACCAACAATGCATCTCAAACGGCGATGGGGTACAACAAGCAAGAGATTGTGGCCCAGAGTTTTAAGTACATAAAGTCCATTAGATTCACGCCCTTTACCAAGGATTTGTTTTTATGAAAGATCATGAAAAAGGCAATGATCATCTCTTTTTTTCTGGATCATTGCCTTGCTAAGTGCTAATAAAACTATGGCCATCATCCCTACTGTGCAAGATTTTTGCTTCCAAGTTCCTGGTCCACTGAAAAGCTTTACTAAAGTTCTTGTTAGAATAAGAAACAAGTCTTTTCAAAATTCGTCTCGTCATTGTGGCAGAAACGCAATCGTCTATTTTTCCCTCTCACTGTCTCACAGCAACATATTGCCATTTTTTGTTTTCTTAATTTTCTTTCTTTATTTTTGTTCTTAATTTCCTTTATGCTACTTGCCCTCCTTAACTAGTAGATTCCCATCATCATCTATTCACCGCAACTCTGGCCTTGACCAAGCACCCGCATGCTCGCGCTACAGCTCTTCGAAACTTGGTGAGTCCATGGTTGCCAGCTGCGATTACCGTATACCCTTCTTCGTGAGACCAAGTTTCTTCTCGCCCACCCCCATGATTTTCAATCCGACAGGACTTCAGCTTCACAAAAGTGTTATCAATGGCGGATGGCAGGCCATGGCGGAAAAACCACCATGTATCTAAGTCAGATGGCGTGAGGGAAAATGACGGAAGTTATGTACTTCCGACCCAAAAATATATTATATATATCTACATATATATAACACTAACACTTTAGAACATGTAAATGATTCTTCTTTTTTTTTTCATATTCACAGTAGTTTCACAAAATAGAAAATATAATCATCGTTCAACAAGTGCAACATAACCTCACACATGAAAAAAAAAAGAAAAAAAAAAAACAAACAAACAAACAAACAAACCATAAAACATATGATAACCATTTAACAGATTTTAAACCAAAAGTAATGATTAAAAGAAAGTCAACCACAAATAAAGCAAAAGTAATTATGAAAAGAAAGTCAAACACAAATTATAAAGGTTTGAAATAAAAACTAGTTAGTATAAGTAGTTATCTCAACCTAATTGTTTGTTGATGTCCATTGCACATGGAGCTGGAAGAGTCATTGTTGACAATTATCCTGGCATAGTGCTAATAATGGACTAGATCAAAATGGCTCAATTCAAATTCTAGTGCTTCTTCTATTAGTGAAGTTTCTAGAAAAAATAAATCAAACGACGCAATGCATCTTGGGTCGCTATGGAACAGCCTCCTTGTATAATTACAAGGGTAAGGTCTGCGTACAACTGACCCCCCAGACCCCAACCCGTTTGGGAATATACTTGGTATGTTCATGTTGATGATGAATTGTTTGTTGACATTATTACCAATGAATCATATTGGTTCTACACAAAGTAAATGTTTCAGACGAAAAAACTTGGTCTTCTCCTTCCATTTACTATCCATCCAAGTTGAAAATGAACACGTAAGAATCTAACAAAATAAAAACAGAAAACAAATATAACTTTTCGGAGATTGGTTCGCCTGTGTAGTGGTTCGACGGAGAAAGGGTCACTTGTGGTGGTTCGCATGAAGGTCGCCGGTGTGGTGCTCTATTTCTCAATTTCCCTCGTTGTTTGGATCGCTGGAATAGTAGGATTTCTTTTGAAGGAGAAACTCGATCCCCTTTTGAACTTTTACAATCATTATTATTAACTAAGAAAATAACTTATGAATCCTGCCCAGCCCAACACCCAAATTTTCAGGAAAAAACTTCCCCCCAAAACTTAAAGCTGACAACAGAAGATATCCTACTTAAATAGAGTCCTAACCCTAATTATAACTGGGATATTCTAAGCAAATCGGCTCAAAACCCAACTACTGAATTAAATGGAATAAAGTCGATATCTAACACAACTGCCCTGCGGCGCCACCACAACCGCTATCCTTCACAAATTTTCATGGATGTTAGGAAAAAATCCAACACGCCATTCGATAACATTGGGGAAGGGTGTGGAGAATTTTAAGTTTGAGGTCAGAGCAGGCATAGATTTATAAAGAAATCAAATGAGAAAAATGGGCAACAAAGCCAAGAAAAAAAAAATGAAAAGGCATTAACCTGCTAAAATAAAAACGAGAGAATGGTAATAGAGGATGAAAGACAATGAAAACCAGAAAAGAAAAAGAAACCAGTCAAAAAAATATTTATATTCCAACCCCTAAATTATCTTTAGTAAAAAAACTAGGGCTCCCATGTGCACAATGAACGCACAAAATGAAGGAAGAAACTTCATTTAAGAACAATTGAAAATAACCAAGAACAATACTACACTTGGTTTCTAGATCCACTCCAGAAACAAAAGCTTCCCCTAATAGATTTGCGTGATTTATTTTAGGTCAAGATCTCATTGTCAGACATCTCTATATTTGGAGTACAACTCCGTCCAGAAGACTTAAAGTGATAACGAGTTGATCTCTATCTCAAGTTCATCACTAATAATAGACAGATAGAGGTGAAGTGCATAATCATACATTCAATTTGTGTCAGGTCCATTTCTATTTACCAAAATTCTATGGCATCGACCTATAGAACTATGAAAGAATTTGCCAGCACATAAGACCCAAGACCCTGAGGTCATTTTCCAATTAACTCTCAATAATCAAATGTGGTCTTATAAAATTTCCAGCGTATGTATTTATTTATCACACAAATACAAACAAAAAATGGCATAAAATCTCGCGCATGCAACCTTTGAATTAAAACATTCCAAGTTATCAACGCCCTTTTAATAATCAATGATATGATGCACAACCGTGAACAACAATGAAATTCAACCAACCTTGCCTATGGCTATGGGATGTGAAAGCAAGCATGTCATTTGTTTGTGGAGATAAGCATTGTATATGTAGATCATATCCTCGTCATCATTCTGCACGAAAATAGACAACCAAAATTGATGGTAATGCTGAAGAAGATGGATATAGAAATAAATCAAAGCAACTCCTAACCGACTAAATACAAAAATATCACTAAAGTATTGGAGCTGGTCTAATTTGAGTGGGCCAGCAAAGATATAATCCTGAGATTCTAACAAGCAACAAACATAAGACCCAAGCAAAAGATGCAAGAAACAAAGCAAGGGAAACGCCTACGTAGGAGGGGAGGGAAAGAGAAAATAAACGTATGAGAAGTGGGAGGTGCCCAAATCCGAATATCGAATCCAATTTTTCAAAGCTCTCAGCAATTTACTTCAGAAACTAAACTCCAATTTGGGAAGTGTATATACTACTCAATTTAAGGAACACATAATTTTAATCATTCTCGAAGTCAAAAGATTATTAAAAGAATAGATAATTCAATTTAAACTATATATATGACCAGAAAGAATATTCACCTGATATGCTGCACTGCAAAGAATCTTATCTAGCCAAAACTGGAATACATTATTGGCAAACATGACTTCCAAGCATGAGCAAATATTTTTCACATCATTTGACGACAAAGAAGCTGTCATCTCCTTAGCATCATTTCCATCTCGTACCAACAACAAATGTACAACCCATGCAAGTCTAACACAATCAACAAAACCTTCAACTACAGGATCATTTCCTGCCACCATCACCTGAAGGAAGCATTAGATGAAGTAAGGTCCATAATGCCCACCAATAGCATGAGGCATGGTGTCGTGTGGCGTGGCGTGACCAGGACACCGAGTAGCTGTGGCGAGGCAGGCTTGCAAAAGGCGCTCGCCTCACATGAGGCGAGGCGAGGCGTGGTGAGGCGAAGCGAGGCGAGCGCCAACCGAGGCAGGCATGTGCAGGAACTTAGACAAAAAATTAGGTTCAAACTTACGACTTTCCATACCAATTCTAAATTACACACATTCTCTCTAACAAAACCCTAAAACAATGCCCGCCTTTTCTTTACCTGACCGGGGCAACTAGATTTCAGTGGTTTACAGCAACGGCAGACTCATGTGTTTTTTTCTTCCCCTTTTTTTTCTTTTTAGCTTTTCTTATTGGACGTAGCCGCTGCTGGCTCCACTATTCCGGCAGTGCTGCCGGCAGATCTGATTCTAACCATTTTATTTTTTCTACTTTTTATTTATTTTTTTACTATTGTTGAATGATATAAAAGCCCATATTTTCCATTTTCTTTTTCTGCGGGGAGCTGGAAGTATGGAGGTGGGGATACTGGCATAGGAGCTTAGTTTTTCTTGGACTGTGTTTATTTGTTTGGAGAATTAAGCTTATATACACCATGTAGAGTTTAATTCTAAAAGCATAATGCAATGTGTAAGCCAACTTGATCTGTGTTTTGTTTAGTTTTCATTATATCTTTATTTTTTTAGTTTAGGGAGAAATATACAAACTTAACAACGTTCATGGTTCATAGGCTTTATGTTTAGGGCTCGCTTGTTTGCAAAATAATTCGTCCAAAATGAGTTATTTTGGTTAACCATAGTTAATTTTGAAAAACATGGTATGGTTAATTAGTGGGATTTTAAGAATGTATTAAAATAATATTTAATATAAAATGATTAAAATTGATTTGATGTAAAAGTAGGAGATACACGATTGGAAATGATATGTAGTTACAATTATGTGAGTGGATCAATAGTGAATTAAAGTTGATGGGATGTGTAAGAATGATTGGTTTGTATTATTTAATTATATGAATAATATTAAAGATAGTGGGGTTAGTTAAAGTTGAGTCAGATTTTGAGAATGAATTAAATGTGAGTGAAATAATTGATAAACAAGCATGCCCTTAATTTTTTATGTTGATGTTGGATTTCTATGGGCCTTTTGTTACATGTTTATTAGCTATGATGATTTGTTTTACGTATTTAATTGTATCATAATTGGTGAATTGTATGGTACATCTCTATTTTTGCATAATGGCTCCCATCGGTTTCATAAGGTGGGGCGCCTCGCCTCATGCCATGGCAAATAAGAGCCTTATCACCTTGGCTCGCCGCATGCCATTTTAATCACCCGCCACAATACAAAATAATTAGGTATAGTTCGTCTTACCATCTTGTTAAACTCTTGCCTAAAAGAAGCATCATGAGACAAGATTGACGCTTTTTCAGGAGCTGTGCTCAAACCATCTGATATGAAAGCAATGACAAGAGAGAAAAGAAGGCTATATGTAATCTGCAGGCAAAGGAATGGAAGTTATATCATCAGTAATAAATTAAAGGAAGATATCACAATCTCAAGAACAGAATAAGAACTTATTACACAAAAGGAAAAGGCAAGTAATGTCAGCTAATCAATGATTTACAGATAATAGCATCCAGCTAATAAAAACTTCTGCCTTTAACATAATTATTCTGCATGAGAATTTGAAATTTATATTACTTCTGCAAATAAATATTAGAGATGAAAGCCCAGGCTGTGTTCAATGAAATATGGGAATTGTCTGTTAGAACTCATCCTATCAAGCTAAATGTGAGATCATCCCCTGCATACTATTTAAGAATGGATAAGTGCTCCTAAATTGAATTAAAAATATTCTAATACACTGTCAAGTTTTTCTATTTTAAGATGTCACAAGAAGAGTTGAGCAAGAGTCCCCATGATACAGAAACAAATAGCGGTGTTTACATTATGAAGCGAGGGCTGGGCAACTCAAAAAATGATAGCACTGTTTAAGCAACGGATATTAGAATAACCACTTATAGATGCGTAGGCCAGAAAAATATAATTGTACATTGTGCATATCTAAACTGTACGAAATCAGTATGATGAACTAAGGCAATGATTTACAATGCATTTGTGAAATGTCTCGCTCAACTATAGAGCTTATAAAAACCGAAACTAGAACAAGTAACCCAAACCTGATGCTTCAGGGAATCTGTGACCCCACTGTATTCACTGGCACTCTCTTTTAGAGCAAGAAAAATGTCTTTAACATCTTTAGAATCTGTACCGAGAAATCTGATAGTCAGTTCGTATACTTCAATATTATTGACAGAATAACCCAATCTATCCTAAGTCATCCTCTGATCCTCATACCCAAAGGAAAGAGAGTAGAAGCTCAATAAACTAAGTCATCTCGGGCTACAGATCATGGCAAAGCAACCGATGGCCTAGTCAACGAGAGACATTGGACTGGCAATGCGAAGTTTACAACAACGAGGGAATGTGCTACATACTAATAAATCTTCTAAAAATGTCAACCAAAAATTACACACACACACACACACAAAAAAAAAAACTATCAACAACAAATGACAAAAGCACAAGTCAAACAGTAAGTTCTTGTCAAGAGTCTCTCAGGGCAACTAATCACAGACCACTGGATAAGGCCTATGCCTCAGACGATGGCTTAATAACTTTGCATGAGAGAGACACTGGTTTCATAGCTACCGTTAACAGATGAAAACATGTATCTTCACAATGATTCAAAGAATGCAAAGAGCCCTATTTATATACACAACTAAGAGAATAATAATCGTATTCAAATCCCTTAATAGTAGATAGCACATATTCTTTCCTAAAAGGGAATTCTATACTTACATCATATACACTAACTACTAAACATATAATATTATGAATCATTCAAACTTCAGTCTAAGTAGAGCTTCGGCTGCAACGCGAAGAAGCTAGAGCAAATCTTCGAGTGAAAGCATGACATTAAAATGATTCTGCAATTCAGGCCCAGACCCAAAGTACATACCAGCAATAGCTCCAATTACGCAAAACAAGTTTTATATATCAACACATCAATCCAAGAAATAAATCATTTTCGAAGCTTACCTGCACGAGCAACCAAGATCGAAAGAACAAGGCAATGACCAATAATGAGCCTTTCCCTTGTGATTACTGCTTTCCTTTCTACTAGAGCACCCCTCGAGTCAAGAATGTAGCTCTCACAATTGGGTCCTCCTAAACCGGCTGGCTCTTCTCTTCGAAGTTCCTATTTAATAAAAAGAAGAAAATATCTACAGATTAACAATGAGGACACAAAAAGAAGAAATTGAAATAACACAAAAGTAGGAAATTTCATTAAAAATGTAAGAATGTGAATGGGAATACAAAGCTGCTCCAGAAAAATACAAACACAAAGGAAATTCAAAAGACATAACAGACAAAAATTAGTCACCACCTCATCCCCTCAGGATCTAATGTTAATACCAACTTATCAAAAATATATTCTATTGTAACTGATCAAGCACACCCTCCAAAACAGTTTTTTTACAAGTAGCCAGCGTTTTTTTTTTTTTTTTCTTTCCATAACTACATTCAAAGATAAGCTGAGATAGCGAGACAAATGTCTTTCTGCTTCCGTTCATAAAGAAGTGGGTACATGAGGAACTTCTATTTTCCAGAGTTCATGGTTTTCAAAAGTCAAATGGTAATCTGATACCAGAACCCAAGGATACGAAAAAAATCCCAATGCAATAATAAGCACATTAAGGGTGACTTACATCTTGTAATTTTATACTTTCAGATTAATTAAAAGAAATATGTGGGAAACTTGAATTTTCTACTAGATACATTTAGAAGCTGAACTTGCTCAATCGCTCCAAACATGCTTCAAAATTACCCCACAACAAATTCTTTCAGCCCATAAATTAGCCATTCATTAAACACACTTATAAATAAGAAGTAAGAGAAAAACAACAAATCATAAACTAGAATATCAACTGAGAGAAAACTTGACAAAGATAGAAATTATTTTAATCCTACAAGTTTATCTCAATAACAATGTGAAAACCTTCATAAGTGCAATCAACCGCTGTCGAAGTCCAGAAGATATGAGATCTTGTAAATAACTATGGATGTCAGATACAAGATCAGCTTCAAGACCCTGGTCAAGAACAACAAACTGAAAAAAAACAAAAAAAAAAAAAAAACAAAAAAAAAAACAAAAAACAAAACAAAACAAACAATAGCTATCAGGGGAAAAAAGACAAAAGGAAAAGGAAGTTTCTTATTATATATGAATGAACCAGGACCAATACCCTCAAAAGCATGTACATTGCTGTTAATAAATCTCTCCTCTCCGTATACCAAAGTCCGGCAGCAAAGCGAAAGATCTCCAATGGCTCTCGACCCAGCAATCCCCACTGAGAGAACAAATATAATAGTTGCAAGCAACAGTAGAGAAAACACAATATAGACTGCAAGTCGAATTAGTGACTGAAATCCATCAAGTTCTTAACTCATGTAAAAATCGCCAATTTCGCAGTTTCAATCCCCTTTTCCTTCTAAAAGAAAAGGCCTATTTCAACATAGTAAATAGATAATATAAACTTTAGATACCCATCCGTTGGTTGCCAGCAATGATAATTGCCTTTCAACACAAAAATGGGACCAGAGAATACCAAATATTACCTCTTGATTGGCTGAAACAAGCAAACGCACAGCGTCGATTTCATTGAGATGCAGGTCTTCACTCAATTTTAAAGTCTGAAGGTTCAAAAACATAGTAATTAAATTGAAAGAATTAAATCACGTCAAAAAGTCATAGCAGAATAAAAGGCAGCTAAATATGCTCGTTTACATCCTTCTGCATAATATATTAGATCACTTCGCTGTTGGTGGAACTATATGCAGGAATTAGAATTTCTACTACATAACCAATAATTTGCAAAGGAACACACACACACAAACACACATATAACAGATCCAGATCACAAATTTTGCCACGAGCGTTAATAAGAGTGAACAGAACCTGGAAAGAAAAATTAAGTTTTAGCAATTCCACATAGGGCGTGGGTCTATGATTATACTTCAAAATGTTTATGAGCACAATGATAAGTAAAGTTCAGAGTTAAGGGGTCGCTTACAATATTTAATATATTAGTGTTATGTTGTATATAGATGATATAGGGTTAATGTGTCCACTTATAGCGGATACCAATACAAAAAATATAGTTATTAGAACAAGTTTCAAATATAAATGATATTGTGACAACATCATCAGCTATGGGATAAATTTTCGAACTTGGGCATGTAACGACTACATGTACTAATAATTCTTCACTACAATTTCTCAAAAATAAGATTGTGTACGTTTCAAAAATTAAACTAATCATTATCGTCGTGATATTCACATTACGTAGTGTTACTTGAGAACCATACAGGATCTATAGGCCTTCAACTTATGAACTCCTATATCACAATTTATAAATAAGCACAAATATCAAAGTAATTGGGAGTGACAAAGACAAAACTAACGATTTGAACATCCTGGTCATCAAGAGAGATTGGCCCAGCATCTGGCAGTCTCACTTCTTTCGACTGGACTTGAGCTCTGTCTGATGGTTTTGGGGGCTAAAATCATAAAGAGAAGAAATGAAGTTCATTGAAACAACATCAATATGATAATTACAAGCATAATGATGGATAGAAACCCCGGCATTAACTTTTTTCACATTTAAGAAGCACGTATAACTGATGAAGTGGAGTAATGAAAAGAAAAAAAGAAATGAAATTCCTTCCCAGGAGCGGTTAGAATGCAGCCCAAGTTATACTAAGTTGACCCCATTATGTAAATTCTTTATATAAGTAATATAAACATGACTAAATTCTACTCCTATAAAAATATTTTGGAGAATAACAAAGGTTGTATGGCTCAGTGGCTGAACAAGTGAAAAGGGTTCGGCACCTAAGAGCCGAACAAATTAAGATTGTTTGTTGACTATATGCCGAACAAACTGCTGGTGTTTCGGCACCTTAATTCCAAACAGTAGAAATATATCCAGCAAAAAGACACCAGCAGATCAGGGCTATATTTTTCTTAAGGTTTTTCGTCCGTTCACAATGATGTTAACAAGGAAAAACAATATCAACTACCCGTCAAGCTAATAAATAATATCATAATAGATAACCATTCCATCAAAAATTATCTCCATGCCTAATTTAAAGAAGTCTCAAAAACAAGACGAGAAACTAAACGACTGTGCCTCTACATTTTGTTAGAAACTTTGCAGGTGTTCGTTAAACTACAATGATTTCCCTCTTTTTTTGTTCAATCTTGCTTGTAGATGTAATTCCCTTTTCTTTTGTTAGCTATGCATTTTTTTTACCCAAATTTTTTCACTATCCAAAAGGTAAAATGAGATTAATTGGGGTGTATATGGTAAAAGCAACAAAGAAAAAAAAAATTATGGGGTATATTTAGCACTTGGAGTCCAGTTAGTAAATTGTGGCTTGCATTTAGCTACGCGCTTCCTTCCCGTTAACAGTCTATTATTCCAATACCGATACCAAAGAGCGGAGTTTGATTAGCAAGGAATGAATGGAATGACGTAGGAAAACATCAAAAAGATAATCATTATAAATTTTAATTTGCTGATTATTGAATAATTCAGATTCAACAAATCTTTAAAATTTCACATGCCAACAAGTGTGCCAGCTAATCTGAAGATAAAAGGACATACATTTTCCGAGTGGAACAACAAAAAGTTACACGAGCAGAGAAATTGTTAGAAACACACACACACACACCAGGCACACGTAAGGTAAGGAGGTACCGAGTAAGAGAGGAGAGCCTTGAGAGAGGGGTAAGAGTGGCGAATGGCGTGAATGAGCTCGATTCTCTGGGCGGCCGTGGGAGTCCGCCCCAGCAAAGTCGACTCGACCACGGACAAGAGTTGCTTGGGAGACACCATTTTTTCCTCCACGACAATGCACAGATGGTGTATGGAAACTAGAGGCGCCCGATTGGGTTGCGGGACTCACGGAGCGGGACTGAAGGAGCGGGAGCTTTCAAGGGCGGGAAAAGCCCTAATTCAGGGTTTTAGAGAGGCAGAACGATCTTCGCTCACTTTGCAAAAGGGGATGCTTTATTGCTTCCACATAAATTCTTTTTTATTTGATTGGAACTTTTTATTTTGTTTTGTTGATTTTAAAAAATTAATGTGACGTGTGGAAATATTAGTTGATATTATTTAATCTATATATATATAATTACTAGGCTCATAAGCATTTAATAAAATCTATTAAATTATACTTATGTGGCACTTTCCCGCCAAAAACCGTTACTTTTCAATTTTATTTTTTTTATTATTTTATTATAAAAACATGTTTGATTTGTATTAATGTGTTGCTATGTTAATATTGGTCAAAACCTCATTTACTGTGTAGCCGTTATATTTCTCTTTTTTCCTTATTATCTTTAGTACCTTTGAATTTCGAAAATAATTTTTTTTTTATTATCAAAAAATTTATTCACTCACAATATTTTATCTATTTATTCTTCACTAATTTATGATACTTTGTTTTTTAGTAACTAAAGTTGTTTTTTATTTTAGTAAAATTTTTCGACAATATAGTCTTAACTACATTTAGTAAAATTTACCAATTTTAAGTGGCAACTAGATATTCATACTTCTTTAACAAGTAGCTTTTGTAAAATTCACGACAAGTAGATGTATTCGTTTGGAATTTTGAGTGACATTTAAAGGCGGATTTGAAAATTTTAAATTAGAGGAATCTTGTGAAATTTTAAGTTTGGATGTGAGATTTGTAATGAGTTTTAGTATATGTTTATTTCTTTAGAAATTCCAACAAATCTTAAAAAGTTTTAACAAATCTTAATCTCAAATAATTAAATACATCGGGATGAATACCAAATGAATATCTCAAGACTTTTGTAAGTCTTGAGAACTCTAAATTAAATTATACCATAATTTTCAAAGTCTTAAAAATTCTTCAAAATTTTTTAAAAATCTGAATTAAATGCACACTTAAATTTAAAATAGCTATTTTGTAAAATCCACAATAATTAATTAAATTTAAATATTTCCCATATTATATACAACACAACAAGTTAAATTTAAATATTTCCATTGTATATACAAATCACAAGCTCCTTCATTCATGTTGTAATAAAGTCGTCCCATTAAATGACAAAAAGCAACTTCCGGAGAAAAATAGGCCACTGCCACATAACATAATCCCCCGAAATTTATATATATATATATATATATAATTACTAGCTAATAGCATTTAATAAAACCTATTTAATTTTATCTATGCGGCAATTTAACCCTTTTCTCTCCAAAAACCGTTACTTTTGATGTATTTAATCTTTCATTTATTTATTAAATAATCAACACTAATCACTTCAAAATTACCAAAATCATTTTAAACTTTTGATTATTGACAGTTGACCATATAATGTGTTTACCGTATAATATGATTAGATGTTATAAGTGTGGTTAAATTTAAATTATTATTATTTTTAAAATAAAAAACGTATTTGAAATTCTTAAATAAATAATAAATAATTCACAATAAAAAAGACATACCAAAATATACATTACATCCAATCAGATAAACGCAATTTAAAAACAAAAAATAGATATTCCAACTCCTTTAATTATAAATTTGGCCAGCAAAAAGGTGAAAAAGAAAAATATTTAATCATTATATGCATACAAATAACTCACAATACTTTATTTATATTTGTGCAAATGCACAGGTCGAATACTAGTATATATATAGATGTTAAAAGAGAGTATTTGGTAAGTATCTTATTTAGTTAGCTTATAAGTTAAGTTCTCTGTTTTGTCTAGTTAGTCCATGTTAATGAGGTTTTCAATGCAATTATAATTTGACTGTTAATTTGTCTTGCTCTTTTATGTTAAAAGAGAGTGTTTGGTAAGTATCTTATTTAGTTAGCTTATAAGTTTTATGTATTAAAATATATTTAGTTTAGCAACTTTACTAAGAAACCAGATGGTTGGTTCCCTTATGGAATCAACCACCAATGAGGCAGTGTCATGTATTATTCACAGCCCCATGTGACACTGTCTCATTGGTGGTTGGTTCCATAAGGGAACCAACCATCTGGTTTCATAGAAGAACTGTTTAGTTTAGTTTGGTAGGACGATTTTTTTTTTAAAGTTCGAGATTATATCATAAGCTTATTTGAATAGTTTTTCAAAAAGCTCGTTGAAATATTTATTTCAGCCAGTTTACCAACTAATTTTATAAAATACTTTTATCGTATAAGGTCTTTTTCAGTCATAAGCTATCATTATTGGCCCAAAATTCACCGATCAGCTATCAGCCAGCTTATAGGCTATCAGTTAGTTTTACCAAATATAACCTCAATTACACCACATAGCGTGGGTTGTGGTTGGCGGCGGGGAAGAGGATGAAGTGAAGAGATAGGGGAGGGGAGGAGGAGGAGGATGATGGCTGGCGGTAGCGGAGGTGGACTGTGTGTGTGTCTTAAGTGGGTGGGTGGGGCCCACAAGTGTGGGTAAGTGGTTAGGGATTGAGTAATTTCAAAAATACCCTTAAATAAAAATTTGGTCTTTTTTGTTGTTGGATGATTAAATTTTACATGCATTTTATTTTTTTTATTGAACATCATTTAGAGCGCGGCCTTATATAAAAATATTTAAAAGTAATAAATTATTTTTATTTGTGTAGATATCTTTATACTTCACACCGCTATATATAATATAACTTCTGTTTAAGTGATAACAACATATAATGTTGTAACTAAAATCCCATACAGTATTACTAAAATAATTATAGAAATACCTTACTCGTCGAATAAGTAGTAGTCTTATTCGTCGCATTTAAAAAATAAAATATAAATGTATGCAAAAAATCAAAATTATGTTTTTTATTTTTTCAAAAACACAAATCAACAAATTTATTAAATCCAAATCTACATTTTCCTATCTTTTCTCAAAATGATCTTCCCAATATAGCTTGATCCTCATTCATTTTATCTCAATAGAGTAGGTAATTTTACCTAATTAGTTTGTACAGTACAACATTTAAAGCAGTGTGGTGTTGCACGTGAAAAAGCTTTAAAGTATTGTACCTGGTAGGCTCCTGTGGCACACCCACTCTCCAAAATTTTTTGTATTTCCTTCTGTTTGTGTGACGACATTTAAATTATTTCAATGTATTGATAAGTTAAATACTTTACAATTTGAAACAAATTAAATAAGTCTAACCTTTCATAATTTGATCGATTGAACAAACAAACAAATGCAAGTCATATTTAGTGGTTAATCGAGCACTACCTAACTTTTAAAAAATCCACTTGTAAGTTGTAATTCTTGTGGGTCCCATATTTTGTTGGAGCTAGTAGGTTAACCTACTTAATTCTCCATTAACTACATTTACACGTGGCTATGGACCGACCCGGCCCAGATTTACGGATCTTGTAACGGTTTCGGGTCGCCATTTTTCTTTTTTGACCCGCCGGTTTTGGGTCGGAAGACGCGTAGTTGTTTTTTATTTTTATTTTTTATTTTTTGAAAGTCGGCGGTTATAAGAACCGTGGGGTCCGGCCCGTTCATTTTTGAACTGGCGCTT